GTTGCTCAGCAGGAGCCAAGAACTCCTGATAACTAGCTTCAGAGCTGTTTCACTCGTCTTTCGGTTGCAAAGTTACGAATTATCATTTTTCCTAGTCCCTAATCCATACACCATCAATTCCGCAACCAGTTTTCCAAATCCAAAACTGTAAAGGTCGTTATATAGAGACTTGAGATACGTTCCTTGCGATTGGTCACAAGACCACCCTTTGTATTTGGAAATTGAGTTCATGGCTCCCTCTCTGCGGCGAGTACCAAAGAAGAGGGGGACTTTTAACACCCGGACTGTATAGTAATTATTCACGAGAAGGCCTAAGTATGATCTAAGAACAAGTGGAGCATAGACGAAATATTCGAAAAAATATAGATATTCATACTTAGGCTTCTCTCGATTGAAGCCTAGGTAATGTTGTTTTTTTACGAATTGGTTGTGAATTAGTATCAGTTCACTATTTCTGCTTGAGAAAGCTATCGTATAGCGATACACTCGCGGTTTTGTAAATCATTTATAGTAGGAATCTTACAGGAAACTGTATTATTGAATTTAAATATTGATTTTCCATGAAATATTGTTCAGTTCCATTCAAATAAGTGAAATAATTCAATGTGACGTCAGTGAAAAATGTTTAGAATTGAGTAATTAATGTATAAACACGGTATACAAATAAACAGCAACTAACCCTAAAAGCATAAGCTGTGTATGGGATACTACAAACAAATCCATAACTTTAAACTATCCATTTTTTTGATAATTGAAGAATCAGTCAATTGAAATTGAAAGTGTTCAAAATTTCGAGTTATAGGGTTGAGTTACTAAATTTTCCGAAAGAAAACTGTACGACATACTCAGAGCAAGTAACCCTTGCCATGTTGTCGTTAACACCCTGTAGAAGACTTCTGCTCGTCGATTCATCCAAGAGAAATTAATATTCAGTGAAAGTTGAGGTGGACTACTTTCTGAAGGATTCAAAATGGAAATTTTGATATGCAGAACCTTTTTTTCACTTTTGGAATCAGGTAAATTATTAGACAAGCCGCGTGTATTTAAAAACCAGCTTGATGACATTCAGAAATACGAATTATTCCATAGTGTTCCCAAGACAAGCAAAAATCGAAAAATGCTCATGCTTTTTTAAAATCGCCTTCAGTTTCGTGGGTTATATTTTTATTAAGCTGTAGAATATAGAATCGTAACATTCTGAAGTTCCGTTTTCTTCGGTTTACTTCAGTATGCCTATCTCTGTTCATTTGTAGGTTCAAGAATCAGGACTTTAAGTTTGAATTGAACGGTTTCTTTGAATCGAAATTGGCCTGAAAACAATATATGAATTCCAGTGCAACTGTTTTGAACAAAAAAAGCTTCATGGGGTCAAATTTGGTGAATATGCTGGCCGAGGCACGATTACGCTGTTGTTTTTGGCCACTGACGAGTGAGAAGGTGCTTCATCATGATGCAAAAGCCATGAATTGTTCTTCTCACTAACAAACGAAACATGTACCATGTTTCCATGTGTACCAACAAAGAAAAATCGCTAATCATGTTCGTAGCCCGCGAAATCTGAACATCCACCATATTTTTTGAATGTACCTCGTATAATTCAGTATCCAGTGTGAAGATACCTTGAGTAGAAATCTCGAATTCTGAAAATGCCCTATAAATTCGATTGTTTTTCAAAAAGAGTAACTTTTTGATCAAATTTTTCCAAATTATTCTTATCACCCTCCCCTACATATCAACCCTTGAAAAATTCTCTCTACAGCAAACAGTTAAATTGAATATGTTCAATAATTTCAAGAAATGAAAAAACTTCATTAATTTTCAGCACTTCATTATTTTTTCCGGACCTCCTTCCTTATTAATCAAAAACTGACATAAAACTGACGTTGACATTTGCAATCAATAAACAAGAACTGCTCTCTAAAAACTTGATTTCGTTGAAGTTTATTATAGAAACAACTGATGCTAACCATTTTTTACTGTTGCGTCACATTGAATGCTTTCACTATTTTCCATTTTCAAAAATTACCAACCCAGCCATCGATTTCATGTATAGATTACAAAGCTGAGCAATTTGGATATTCACGTTTTCATAACATTTCGGAATGTTTGCAAAATTTTCTGAGTTTCATTCATTAATAAGTAGCACTTGGGTTATGGTTTTTGCTACCTTATAGCTACCAATATAGATTATTAGACATTGTAACCAATACTCTAAAAGTAAAAAGCAAAGAAATGTGTTCAGAAACACATTTCTTTGCTTTTTACCGTAGTGGATACGTTTCTTTTAGAATTGGTTACTCTGAACATTTTTTAGCTATCAAATCCTCTGGAAAGCATTCTGTAAGCTGGCCATCATTCTCAAATATCCAGTAAACCTGCATTCATTCGAGTTGACCCTGATGTAATAATTTTTATTGAAATATCAGCTTGAGAAAATCTCAAGAGAAATTATGAAATATGTGGCCTTTTCCTGATTCACCCCTACGCCTATCTTGTGAATTTTTTTGCCATTTTAGAAGCAGTTTCAGTTGTGAATATGATGACTAATATTTATTGTGGTTACTAGGAACAAACTCATTTGAAACGATTTACTGGATAAAGCCTACAGGATGGTGTAATAGTAGAGGTCCAAGTCCGATTCAAAAACCAAAGAAGTTTTATAACAAACTTTGACGAATTATACTTATGTTGTTATGAAAGATTTGTGCCGATTCCAACTACTTTCAGACCGCGGTAGTATGATTTCTGAAATTCAGTTGTTATTCTCATAATTATTTGCGTATAATATTATATTATATTAATTCAGTAACTTTTTCGTCAGCTGAGTATCTTTTCCAATACAGATTTCTTTTGAGAAATTTTCACTTGTGTTGTATACATGTGAAATATCAAATATGAACGAATTTTGGAAGGCTACTTACAGGTAAGTCGTTTTGGAGCTATTTGAGGTTTTCGGAAGTATGTAATCATATCAATTATATCAGAACCTCTTATATCCGCAGGGCCCAAGTGTTGGCAACAGAAATGTCAATTAAATGAGAACTGAGGTGAATATACAATTTCTAAAGCAAGTGGTGCCAAATCAGGTCTGCCACATGGACACTTGAGTCATATTTTCGTCAAAGAATGTTTAGTGTTATTTTCAAAAGCATTCTCATGAATCTTATTGTCGAATATGTTTACCAAATGTCAATTTTTGGTCAAAAATCACCCCTAAGCCCTTGACATCATTGCATCTCTGTCTAAATCTTGAATAGCATCAAGTTTCAATTCATTATTGCTACAGAAAGTGACACGCATCCCAACTGAATATTTACACAATCACCTTTATTATTAATTACGCAAAATAGCTCAAGTCATCAGAGGACCTAGATTGGAGCCCTGAGGAACACCAGAAGTAACTAGATATGTTGTAGACTCGTGACCGTACTGTAATATACAGGGGTGTATGGGAAGTTGTTGAAATTATTATGTTTTCTAACCTTCAATTGATTGAATTTATCGCACAAAACGATCGGCACAACTGTTTCCATCTGTCAACAACAAAAACTTCAAATTAAAAGAACTAAACAATTTTGAGAGGGGTTAAAAGAAGCCTTTTTCAAAATTCAAGAAGAAGATGAAAGCTGTCATCATTCAGCTCCTGAAGCTAACCCAAAAAAGAAACAAACTACCGAACCGTTTGAAGATTTGGATCCCTACTATCCAAGCATAGTATAGTTCAATAGCTGGCCTAGTAGTTCCATAGTAGCACCTCGATCAAATGCCTGCACAGCCAACCAGGGCCACGCACGGTGCAATTCGGAAATTGTGCAGGGTTGCCGGGTGCCGAATCTTTCAGAAAATTTACGTACACACGGACTTGTAAGGCTCCTCAGTTGGACTTTTGTAACCGAATCGTTTTTGTATTTTTTCGTCCAAGTCCCTAGTCCTCGTCTCTCCCTCCCTGCCTTCCGAAACCCTCCCCAATTGTGCTTACAGCAAAAAAAATAATCTGTCACATCTGTTTTTGTCGGTTGGTTGTGTTTTGCTGAGCGCCCACTACTATGCTGAGCAAGTCGCAACCAGCGTTAGGGTACGTACACAGTGAAATCGGGATGGGCTTTTTCTGGCATAAAAGCTCAGATCAGCGCCTAGATCAATGCTTGGCCAAACTGGTGGGGTACGCTTTGAACTTAGTCGCCTTTTGTCGACTACATTACTGTCGATTCAACCGTTACCGCCAATATATACCGATTAAAATTGTCCGGGGGGGGGGGTAGTTGAACATCTCGTGAACCGGGCCAAGATGCATTCCACCTCACTCAGAGCTAGGGTAACAATTATTTTAGGATCACAGGGCTCACATAGGTCAGGCTCTACTGTATATCGATGAGTCATTTACAGTAATTTATTTTTGGCGACAAGCTAGTACCATCCAGGCTGCCCAGTTTCACTGTGTTCGTACCTTTAGGGTTTGAACACATGAGTGGTTATGAGCTTGCTGCCAGATAAAAATCCTCCAATTGAACAGAAGGGCCTAGCAGGTTACCTAGGTAAGCACTGTGAGCCAGGATGTAAGCTAAACATTCTGAAAATAGCTCTAAGCTAGGTAGAATGGCTAGTGCTTGTACAGTTGGCATCAATTACTACGCCTGTCACTAGCTACTTTCAACATACTGTTAAGCTGTTAAGCTTTATATACAATGACTATAAATTGCCTAGTGCTGTAGATGTTCAAAACTAATTCAGGAGGAGTTCAAAAAAACACCTTTATGGAACCAGGCCCAGGCCAATCACAATCGGTAAATATATTGACGGTAGCGGTCTAATTGAATGGTCGACAAGCGACTGAGCTTAAAAGGGTACCAGGTGTCTTCCCTCCCACTACGGCCAAGCGCTAATCTAGTGAGCCAGTATCTAAACGGGTATGCGCCCATTCTAGACCTAGTATGTACGTACCCTTAGCCTTTTGTTCAGTGCTTGTCGAAAATGTATGATTTATTTTTTGGCGTCTGTAGGCGATTTTCGCCAGTTGTATTCCTGAGATCATAGACTTGATTGGAACTAGGCCAAAATACGGCGGTACCCTGAAGAACGAGAGAGGTAGAAGGTGAGATAATATAGTACCGTTGTTTTGCATTCGGCTGGTTCGGAACCAGTCGCAAGTGAAAGATCTCAGTAGGCTGAGGGATCGTATCTGAAATATGGAAAATACTCAACGAATTGTTTGTGCTTTACGTGTTAGTACTTGATTAGCTCACGATTAGTGTTTCAATGGACGTGGAAAGTATTTTTTTTATTTTTGTCTTATTTTATATGCAGTGAGTGTCAAAATCTCGATATGAATTCAGAGTTTTTAAATTATTGGTTGGTCAGATAATATTACCTTTTACCAAAAGCTGTGTATCATCCGGGATCCAAGGTTTCGATCCGGCTCGAAGGACCATACATGTGTCTATAATGCCAAGATTTCAATCCAAATTGACACACCTTAATCTGTTTGAAATTGAAGGATTAGATCAGATTTTTTTCTAACCGCAAACTATAATAAATTGAATATGTATCATTTCCATTACAGATATACCAGTAATGATCTAACTATGAGTATGAGTCAGGTATTATTCATTTGAGATTCAGATGAAGCAGACGTTTTGAACTTTTTTTTACTATCAACTTCAATGCTGATGAAGGCAATTTCAAAAATATAAATCGAAGTAGAAGAACTGTCTGACGAACCACTAATAAAAAAACAAGTGGCGAGGATTTTTTGAGATACACTGTATTATTTCAGTGCTAATTGCTGTTCACCTTCTTCCTGCACGCTTCTGAGTCTTTACCATCAATGTTCCCCTCTTCTTTCTCAATGTTGTATAAGTGTGTAACCATTTGTGGGCCCAGCAATAATCTTCATATGAAATGGCTTCAGGCGAGTTGTTAGGATTGTTTATACTTTGCTGTTCAGTTAATTTTGATCGATAGTTCCGTTATTGATTGATATGAAATATACTGGATATTGAATTATAATCACTGAAGAGATAAAAAAGCCAACCTCTGTTGGGAACTACTGCTGTTTTTCCCGCTCTAAGAATTTTCTTGGATAATATATTGGAGAAACTACTGTACATATTAGCCAGAATTGTTCGAGGAGTTTAGTTGTAACAAATGTACATGAAATTTTTTTTGTTGAATACCCATTGTACCTTCGATTAGGAGGACATTGAGTAAAACAAATCAAAAATTCGAACAATTTGGGCAGAGTCTTTCAGAAACGTCCTGCATATTCCATCTCATTCAACGGATGATATTGCAAAAGTGTTTCTGTCGATCAAAACAATCCTTTCATATGAAAAATAATGCGGGGACCTATCTGCGATAATAAATCACAAAGCAATTCATTTCACTCGGATTTGTTAGAGGAAGATACTATTTTCTGTGATATCTAGAGCAAATTTACAAAAGAGAATCGATGGATCATCTTCTGTCTCAAGTGAAAATGGTGGATTTCTGAAAACTCGATGTTTTGATTGCTGCCAGAAAGAATCAAATGTGAAATACTTTCCGAAGGTAAACTAGCAAAGGTGTTCCATATAGAGTATCTGAAAGATATCAAAGCTTGTTTCAAATTAATTTTCTCCATTATCTGTTCCTCTGCCTAGGAAAGGTCAGATTGAAAACTTGATTCAGACTTTCAGAAATGCCCATCATATGATGACCATTAAAACAACGTATGTCACCCCTGCTGTAGTCTAAAAATCACTTGGAAACATGAATGCTTTAGAATTGGCCAGATTCTGCCAGTCTGAACTCCTTCAACATCTGAAGTGGAAGCAATGACAGGTCCTGAAACATTATTTGTTGCATCCACTTTCGCAAGGAAGTCAACAGCTTCATTATCTCTCATGCCAGTTTGCCATGAGACCTGGATTACTTGGAACGGAAACTTCAAAAGGTCTTGGCATTATTAGCTGAACTTCCACCTTTTCAGAGAACAACTTCTTATACTCATAGAGTAGGTCTTTGAAAGTTTCAGTATCAACCATCTCAGTCTGTTCGTTGCCCACAGATTAGTCGTTACTTTTTCCTTGAAGATCATTCCAGATCTCAATCTGTAACTGATATTTAAATTTTGTTGAACTTTCCAACAATGTCACTAGTCTGTACAAGGTCACGAAACAAAAAATGGTTTCAGTTTCGGGTAATTTGACATCTGCTGAATTTCTTGGCAAGAACCACAAGAAATCCAAGTCCTTTATTTGATACACAAACTCAGTATTTGTTACAGATTAGTAGGATATAAGGAAGCAGAAACAGAGCAGAAACCCCCAAACAGTAAATTGATTTCAGAAATCCACTTCTTCAATGAGCAAGATTTTCCATTGTTTTACCAAAATCGCTGTTGTTAATTAAAATCCGTTGTTAGTCAGTGGTTTGCATGAAGATGGCATGCGTCATCTGATGCCACCTGAATGTGCGTGGCCAGGCTGTGACAAGGCGCTCAATTTGTAAATAATAGAGATAGAAATAGAATACTTCCATGGTATCAAGTTTCTGATAGTGTTAAATTTCAATTGCGGAGCGCCTTAACGAAACGACAATTAGAAATTTTTCAATAGATCTAGCTAACACTAACCCTAGCTGCATGATGTTACGTAACTTCTTTGGGAGTTTCATCAATAACATTAGACGGCGGATTGGATATGATTTTGTTTGTTTTTCAATAGCGCATCGGTTGTAAGTTCGTTTGAGTTTATATTGGAGATTTTTCTTCGAATCTAGAGTACTAGATCGGTTTATTTCTTATCACTTCTTCATAAATCTAGTTGTTTTATGTTCTGCAGCACAGACCTCGTTAGCTATCTACTATAAAAGATCTCAGTAAGCAAAGAAGAGGTCAAAAAATTGAATGTTCACATAGACAGAAGATCGTATGAAAGTCGATTAGATGCTAGTTTTGTGTTTGCCATATTGAATACTACGTAAAATGATTTGATTTATGGAGAAGGATGGGAAGAACCACACAAAGCCTTGCATCATTCAGAATAGCAATAGAAAACAAAACTTCAATTTCGACAATGTAGTGTTAAAGTTTACGGAGTAATTATCAAAATAAATGTAAATGACAACTTTCTTCATTCTGCAGTGACTGTAATTCTGAAAAGGTGATATTCTTTAAGACGAAATGCGTCATATTTTAAAGAATATTAGTAAAAACACAGAAGTATTATCTACGTTCTGATCTAACACTATAAAACTTTCTACCCTTTTCTAAAATTCCCCAACGAAAAGTCATTGTTTCCTTAGACTCGGTAGGAAAGGTAGATCGGAATTTTTGGACTTTTCTTGCAAACCAAAACCAGGTAAAACTTTTACCAACCAAGCTGGTTCCCTAAGAAAATGGGGTAACTCAAAAATATAACAATACTAATACTGTTCCATCATATTCAGTTCAAAGACTAAAATTGTTGCAGGATTTATTCAGGACATTGGTTATCCAAGTACAAATAAGCATTGATAGTTTTTTCGTAATCTTCTGTTACGGTACCAGGGATTTCTCATGATAATTATTCCTCCCATTGATTTTGCCTGATTGATTCAGGTATTGCTATAATCCTGTTTCTACTGTCCAAAAATTATTTCATCAGTAGAATCCAATGGTTGGAAAGAGATATACTTGGTTTTCCAAGTCTGCTCCATGGAGTGAGATGATCAAGGTATTTAGGGAAACTGAATGGAGACCCATTAGTTTTTTGGGAAAAAACCTTCCGACATTCTACTTCTCCATCACCAAGCAAATAATTTGCTTAGTTCTTCATCAGGTTTCTCATGAATTTCCTTTTTCACATCAATTTTTTGCCAGGGTGATTAGTAAAGAGAGCGAAAGAAATCATCAGCTAGACTTGAAGATTTTTCTGAAATTTCATAATTCTAGATGTCTCAGGAAATTGTATATAAGACATTACATCTCTAATGATGAAGTTCATGATGAGTTTTTACTTTGTCATCTTGGAAACAATGACTTTAGTGTGAGGAGTTTCAGGAAGGTTGAAACCTTTACGATAATGTACTTTTATGTCGAGCAAAACAAATTTCGGTCTTCATGACGACAAATTTGTCGGAATTCAAGTTTTGTTAATACGCAAAATTTAAAATATTCTCTCACAAAATATCTTTTGAGAAACCCGTTATACAAAACTAGAACTGACATATGTTTCTTTGTTTTGATATTCGAAAATTCTCAGTTCATGTGTGTCTAGTTTTTGTAACGGTTGTGACACTTCAACGAAACACTGAATCTAATTTTTTTTTTCAATATAGGCACATTGTAGTTTGTGGACACATAACCTACGAATCTGTTTCACACTTTCTGAAGGATTTTCTTCACGAAGACAGGGAAGACGTTGATGTTGAGGTTGTGTTCCTGCATAGGTAAGATTTTTAGAGTTTATATCTATGGTTGAAGGGACCAGTAAAAATAAATGAGTTTTTTTTTCGGTGTTATAGCATTGCAATTCAATTGAAAGTCGATTATTTCACTCTCTTCAAGTTATTTCCCATTCCAATAATCTGATACTGGTTTTTTACACAAGTTATGGAATAGTATGATACTGAACATTCTCATAAACATAGCCCCGAAAGGGGAGAAGAAACATCCCATGTGCTAGGCTACGAGGGCGGTTCGATAAGTTTCCGACCTCAACATGAAGATAGCAGTTATGGAATTTCGTTGTCCATCTGTTGACGGTTGCTTACCAAAGTTTTAGCCAATTTGGACGCGCAGTTTTTATGTAACAGCCGTTTGAGTCAGTTGATGCGAGTAAATTTGTTTTTGAAAGGCAAAACATCTACGGAAATCGAAGATGAGTAGGATTTTGTGTATGGGGACTCTGCATCATCATTTACCACAGTGAAATTTTGGGCAGTTGAATTTAAACGTGGCTGTTAGAGCTTGGGAGATGATGAACGTTCAGAACATCCAAAAACTGCAACTACCGGCGGAAACATTGCCAAAGTTCACCAAATGGTGCTAGACGACCGCCGAATTGAAGTGAGAGAGATAGCAGAGGTTATGAACATGTCAAAATAATGTGTTTGTCACAAAATGATGTCCACAGACGTGTGGACGTTGAAAATTCAACAGTTTTTCGGAATTTCAACCAGTTTCAGTCAATTGAGTAGGTCAGTGTAGGTATATCAAAATACAGTATTCGGACATGTTTTGATCTCTGTTAGAGTATTAGTACATGGGATGTTTCTTCCCCGCTTGGGGTTTCGTTCACGAAAAGGAGCTGTTACTAGCTGAAAATATTTCTCTCAGACGAAGATTTCATAAATGCGGTCGAGCCGCGTTGAAATAAATCTAGTCCTAGGCACTTTTGCTGCATTCAAAAGGGAGCTGTTGAAATTTCATGATATTCTAATCATACTCCGCTCCAATCTTCCATCTTCAAAGAGGAAGTTTAATCTTCCTCTTTGAAGATGATCACTTGGTGATCGAAACACGTGTCGAGGAGTTGAAAATAACGATTTGGTCTTGGGAAAAAACTCCAGTAATATTCATTGACTTCAAACGTGGTTGTAGAGACACCAATGATGCAGAACGCAGGGCTAATACTAGAGTGCCACCAAGATTCAGCCGAAGCATCGGTAGCTGATAACATTATCCTGAGATGGGTTAAAGGGCACGACAGGAGTGAAGGTGATCGCATTGCCGACTGTTTAGCCAAGGAAGCGGCTGGGCTAAGAATTTTAGGACCCAGTGACACCTACGGCCTGATTACTTCGACAGTTGTGGAACTAGCCAAACGTCACATCCATTCTCAATCCCTTAAGAGATGGGATGAAATCAAAGTATGCAATCTTGCCAGAATCACCCTGGACGACCCTGGGAAGCTGGCGCCGAAGAAATTTCTGGCGATGACCAGGAAAAACCTACGCTTCTACGCTTAACAGTAGGATTTTTGACTGACCACTGTCAACTAAGGAACACCTCCACATTATGGGGCTTGTGGACACACCTCTATGCAGGATGTGTGAACAGGAAGATGAAACTGTCAGGCATGTCTTATGCGAGTGTCCAGAGTTTTCGTCAATAAGAGAGTGTGTGTTTGGCGAGCCTTGGCCTACACCTGCCGATATGAAGGAGATATCTCCTAGTGACTTGTCCACCTTCCTGGAAAGGACAGGTTGGAAAATGGCCTAGGAGGACAACTGCTCGGGAAGATGTACAATGGGTCACATGTGGCCTGAATGCTATGGGCCTATAATCACTCTTCCTACTCTACAAATACAGATTCACTTCGGAATATAGACGATCGTCATCGTAGTGAAGCTGGTGAACCTTGTCCAAAACGCACGGAATGTTAGGATGTGCGTGGTATAATATTCATCGACTACCTTGCGAAGGGAAATAGCATCAACAGGAAATATTATATACTTTGAAGGTGATTGACAATCTTTCATGAAGAATTTCATTAGATATATGATGGAATCGGCCGAAACTTTATGAAAATCCATAACTAACGTATTCTAAAAACACTTTGTTGTGTGATTTTCACTAGATAGTTTTACAAAAACGCAACACGTGTTTCGCCATACAATGGCTTCCATTAAGACACGCCCTCGGGTGTGTCTTGATGACACGCCCGAGGAAGCCATTGCATGGCTTCCATTGAGACACGCCCTCACTTCGAATTGCTTTCCAATCCACCGTATTCTCCAGGTTTGGCCTCCAGCGACTATTTTCTCTTCGCAGACCTCAAAAATACAATTTTGAAAAGTCAGGCCCGGGAATTTTCAGCCCACGTGTTATTTTGAGACTTTATTTTCTTCATTTGTCACGCATTGATATTTTTCCTGGTCCCATTTGTCTATAACTTGTGCGTTTACAACAGCCGCTCTTTTATCGAAAGTACATAAAGATTGAAAATTTCATACAGTTTCGTGTAATATTTTTTGTATTATGGACGTTTTCTGAAATGTGCTTTATAGAAAAGAACCGGATTTGGAACTGGAGGGTCTTCTGAAACGGCACTACACAACTGTGGAGTTTTTTCAGGGAACCATGATGAACGCTGTTGACCTTGAAAGAGTCAAGGTCAGGGTTTTGGATACATTACGCCGTTGTCGAATTATCGCTTCTTTCTCACCACTTCATTTTTATATTTTGCAAGATTTCCAGAATATTTTACAGCGGCGCATCCTGTTTGGACCCTCAATTTGGCACCAGTTAAGTCCATGACCTTGATCACGAATGAACTGATGACAAACTGATTGACAAAAAATAAATCTTGCAAAATATACAGATTAGTGGTCATAGTAATCGGCCTTTCGACTGCATGGTACTGTATTCCTTTTGAGAAAGCAAATCTTTCAGTTTTGAACAACTAGCCTTTATGAAATAATGCTTGTATCGTTATTTTGTGGTAAATGTATGGATCTGCAGGAAGCCACCGGACCTAGAGCTCGAGGGTCTCTTCAAAAGACACTTTACAACTGTAGAATTCTTCCAAGGTACCATTATGAACCCTATTGATCTGCAAAGGGTCAAGGTAAGTTGATCATGTGCATAGAAATCCTTCGTTATTTACATCAAGACATTACTCGGGCTTGAAATAAAATTCCTTGAATTTTTCTATATCTAAAACGCTAATAATGATGTCTTGGGATCTCAATAAAATTGCACTTGTGTCTGTTATACAGGGTGTATCTTTAATGATTTCATTCATTCCATTTGGTGATTACTTGACATATTAGATGAAAAAAAGTTCATATGAACGTGCATATATATTTACTGTATCCATACCACAAGCACTGTTACCGAGAGATTTTCCTAGACGATTGGGTTCTTGTCAGCGGTTCCTTCAAAGAAGTGTACGAAATACCAATTGAACTTGTGAAGTTTTATTCACAGATGAGGCAGGTTTTTCAAAGAATGCTATCATAAACTTTCATAACAATCATTGTTGGGTCTATGGGAATCCCCAAGCTACTGTTTGGCTTTCCAGCTTCCCGAAAGAACGTTCCCTGCAAGTGGCTGTCAATGGATAGCTCTCGAATACTTCCCATTTTGTATCCAAGCCTCTTTTTATTGTATATCAACGACTTATTGGAAAAAAAAAACAATAATCCAATATATTGCTTTGCTGACAACAGCACCCTTTTCTCGACATTCCATTTGGATTCCAGGACATCGGCTGTGGATGCACGTCTTCACCGGCAGCAAGAGGTTGCATATCTTAATGAGGAATCTAGTAGTAATTTCGAATTGAGGTGAAAATAACCAGGTTCATTTCAATGCCACAGAAACCAAGGCATTTCCTTCCTACTCGACTCAATGATGTGATGTATAAACAATTCCTATGAGACACATTGCCAGAATTGTTGAAGGATGTACCTTTGCTAGTAAAGCGAAATATGTGGTTTATGCACCAGCTCATTTCAGTAGTGTAACTGCTCGTGCTTTCGCTCATCAGTGGATAGCTCGTGGGGACCTCAACCATGGCCACCTAGATCTCCAGATTTGAACCCTCTGGATTATTTCTTTCGGGGATATTCAAATCACTTGCTTATGCGACACCAGTTGTCGATGGGAATCAATTGAGAAATAAATATATGCATAAATTTGTCATACGTAACACCCCAAGAATGTTCGAACGTGTGCGGCACTGGAATGACGAGAAGACTTAGTGAAAGCAGTGGCGTACAATAATTTTTTACCATTGATAACAATCAAGTATGACAAGTAATACCAACCTGAGATTAATGACATCATTCGAGATACACCCTGTATATTGAGCTGCTGAAAATTTTCAATAAATCCACATTTCGACCGGTTTCAAACTATTTTCTCGATTTTCCATATTCAGGCACGGATTCAAAAGAAATTATTATCTATGGAATCAAGGAAGCTAGCTCAACAGAAATTGAAAAGTGTGGTTATGTTATTTGAATATAATGAAAATATTCTCCACACTCGTCGTGATATCTTGATGAATATAACATTGAAAGTATATGTTCGAATTTTATTTGATCTCGGTAAAAATGAATCAGAAAAAAACAAATGATTTTTTTTATTTTCGAAAATCCTTAGTTCAGTATAAGGAAGGTACTCGGTAATACCATCACTGCGAATTGCACAAAGTTGTTGCTGTTAAGGTTTGATCTATTTTCTGAAAGTATCAACAAATTAGGAATTTAGAAGTGGCAAACACGTCAAATAAACGAATTAAAGATTACATTATGAATCCGAAAATGATATTTATTCATATTAATAAAAACAAGAAATCTTACAACTCTTGTAAATAAAATATTGTTGGCTACACAAAACAGTTTGTCAAATATCTCAAGGATTACAACTGGCTTTCTATCAATGTCATTACCATTAGAAACATTTGTACACGTTTCTTCAGAAAGATAATCCTTGTAGATAGCTTTGGTTGTTCAGAAGCAACCAAACTAGTGATCACGTTCACACTGGTTTCGTAGTGTAACTCTTCGTCAGTGCAGGACAGACCCAACCAGGACAGCATAACCAACTAATTTCATCCAATTTCTACTGCTGATATTCAAACTCCCCACACTTTAAAAAAGCATCTGAAATAGTTATTTCTTCAAAGAGTCATCTACGTTCAATGTGTTGGTGTCAAACTGGTAGGTTCAGGAATGGTTTACTGATCCCATTTGATGGTTTCCTCAGTTGAACAGTTAACTATTTCTTGGTTCCTCTTTTTCTCCTATTGCTTGGATCTGATTCATCCTGCAGGTTTTTCTTGGTGTTGCAGAGACAGAATTCACGATCGATCTATGTCTCAACTATTATTCTCGTTACTGATAGTGGTTTGTTTCCCACTGCTACTACTATAAGTAGTACTATACACATACAGCTTCTGCTTATTTGTTATCTCAATTCAAATATCAAATTGTTTTTGGATTTCCTTTTCACAAAGTGAATATGTGTAACACCACATCAAGTTTTTTGTATGTGTAGTTTAATGTAATGGTTGTATTATCAATTTTAGCCAGATTTCTTTTCAAGGTTCTTTGTGGCGAGTTTTTGAACCAGTTATCACCCAATGGGACTTTGTTGAAATTGTTTTTTCATGTATATGAAGAACCCTGCATTTGGAAAGACAACTGCACATTTTAGAATAAAGTGATGATTCGTCTCACTTGTAGTTTAATATTCTCCAAGGTAGTCTTTTTCTGATAGTTTCTTTTTCATGGTCAACAGTTTTCATCCAATAGGACACTGTTCAAGACGTTTTCGTCTTGTAGGTCAACAAATTGCCTAGAATTCTTAATGTCACATTTAGAAATCACATAGATCTGGTTTTGCTTTTTCTTGGTCTGAAGGTGATCTATAGTTGTTTCATGGAAACCATAGACTACACACTACACTACATAGGCATGTGTTGTCACCATCACACTTCTCTGTGATTGATAACTCAACAATTGGGGCTTCAGGTTCTACTGAAATATTTTTGAGTTAGTCATAAGCAATAATCAAACATAAATAGGCATTCGTGATGAGTCCAAGGTGGAGTAAAGTTGTTGGTTGGGAATCCTAGGACTATAATCGTTCCTTGAATCACAATAATCATATTTTGGAAGAGTAAAAACTGACTGAACAAAATGTATAGGCACTGGTTTTGGGGCTACCCACTGAATCTACTGGATGAGTTGTTTCCACCGGTGTATTTGTGAAGAAGATGGCCTTCAATAGATATTCAATCTAGTTACTGTTGAAGCACCTCTAAAATTCAAAATTAGATAGAAAAGAATCGAATTGTCACAGCAAGAAGAATATGATATGTAGATGTATCCTGGATCTCTCAAAACTGAAATCGATGTTTGAAACTAGAAAAAAATATGTATTGGTCTATTTCACAGCGACTATCCAATAAAGTGCAAAAGAATTTAAAGATCTATTATATACAAAAAAAACTTTTTTGAGATCAATAACTGAAGGAATGAATGTACAAAATTTCCTGTTGATGTGTAAAAAAAGTTTCAAAGGATACTCCATAGGCTTACATGTTATTCTTAAAAAAATGTACTAAAACGGTCAAATAATATATTTCTGAATGTTTTGTACATGTTTTGAATTCTTTTATTACTAATTCAGTTCTCGCTATTTGTTTCGATTTAATATTATTTTTCCTTCCTGAATTGATGACTACATGAAATGAAATAATCCTACAAATCATTTCAAATTATTATACAATCATTATAGAATCAAGTTCCAATCGAAATGCATCACATTTGTTGAGAGTCATTAGCTTGAGTCATTAGGCCTGAAAAAAATGTTAATTCTAGAGTTTTTGGGACGATACAGTTTTTTCAGAAGTTAGATAGTGGTAGCAATTGTTTTCTTTTAAAAAAGCTACTTCAGTCACGTTGAAACTGGCAACAGGGCCTGTCTCTTTGATGGTACCACGCTGTAACTTGGTAAGATTATGGGCATGTTGAATAAAAAACTGAAATAAAACTGATCGATAACTGTATTCAAATGTGTTCCATATTCTGTGATCCGGAATTTCTTTAAGAAGTTTGGCAGTGACGTTAACAGAAGTTATGTAGAAAATTCAGTGGTTCGTGATTTTGACATATAAAGTAACAACTTTATTTATTGATATTAGGTTTTTCTTTGAACTGTAGTTTATCAGTGAATACATATTCAGTTTAATCAAGGTTGCACGTGCTATTCGCGTCTCCAAACAGGCGGATGGCAGCATATGTTCGGGGGCAGAGATCCATACATGTGAAAAATACTCCAAAGAAGATCTGTTCTGAGCTTTATAAAGCATTGAAAGTTGCTGAGTTTTTTGGTTCGGAAGTGTTTCAAGCAGCAGCCTCTATAATTCCAGGGAAGTTATTTCAAACAGTAAAGAATCACCTGATGATAAACTCTACCTATGTCATTCACTGTTTCAGGATAACAATTAATTATTAATTATTCAATAATAATGGAGTGTTTAGAATTTTGATATTATCACATCTGATCAAAACTAATAGCTGCTGTAATAGAAAAATGCCGTGTCATTAGGGAGTGGATTCTCCAAAGGGTAATTGGGAAAAACCAAGAATCCAATATACTGGGTGTCCCATATAAAATTCCGCGAGCAATTATGTAAAAAATGAAAAAGAATATCCATATTTCGTGAAAGCAAATAAAGTACGAACGTTTGTGATATTATTTTTCAAATCCTCTACATTTTGTGGACGTCGCATATAAACTAAGTCTTTGATATATCCCCACAAAAAGGAATCTAGTGAAGTAATATCTGGACTTAATGAAACCAAGGTTGATGAAATACGGTTATTTCAACGAAATTTTCGAACGACGATCAGGATAGATGAATCTGATCACAGAATATGTCACACAATCTAACGGAATAAATTTAAAAATGACACGTTAAATATTTCGCATAGTCGCATATAAAAAGCTCTTCGTCCAAGGACGAAGAATCGGTAAGTTGGCTGAAAGTAGTTGAGAAGTAATTATTTCAAATATTTTTCACTTTGAGGCCGTTTAAAGAAATCTGCATGT